AAATGTAATTGTGACTTTCTAAAACCTTTTAATTGAGCATTTGTAAGTAAGCAAACATATTTTTAAAAACAGAAATGCAAACAGTTTTTTGGAAGGTTTATGGAGTTTCTAAAAAATAAAATGCCTCCAAGGAGGATTTTGGTGAAGGGAAAAAAATGTATATGCAATGCGGTGGATGTAAAGCTGGGTGGCAAGGGGGTGTTACTTTTTTATATTTACAGCACCATTTTCTTTTTAAACCTGTATCTTTTTATAATTTTAAGTCTTAGATCTTGTAAGATGTGAGGTGGGGTCTCCTTGGATCAGACTTGTTTTTCCAACACATCTCAATTTGACTGAGATCTGGAGAATTTGGAGGTCAAGTCAACACCTCAAATTTTTGGTTGTGTTCCTTGGACCATTCTTGAACATTTTGCAGTGTGGCAGAACGCATTATCCTGCTGAAAGAGGCCACTGCCTTCAGGGAATACGGTTTCCATGAAGGGGTGTACTTGGTCAGCATCAATGTTTAGGTAGGTGGTGCATGTCAAAGTAACATCCACGTGAATGGCAGGACCCAAGGTTCTCCCCGCATAACATTGTCCGAAGCATTACAGGTGGCAAGTACTGCAGCCTGGGTCCACACGCACTGCTCAACTGACAGTAGTTAACCATGCACAAACGGGGACGCACAGGAACAGTCCAATTAGGCTTCTTCCCACCCAAAACTCTACAAACAGAAAAAAAAAATTAGTTTCTTCATAAATTCGTCATAAAACCTGGAGTCTCACCATATATAGGTGAGAAACCATATGTTTAGTACAAAAGAAATGGAAAAAAACCCTAAGGTTGTCACTGAACCTCCATTAGCATTTTACTGATGCTAGTCTAGGCACCTAACTCTGTCTTGATTTTACATGCATTTAGCTTGCACTTGGGGCCTTTCTGACAACCACCTGACCTGCTTTTTTTTATTTTGTATTCCCATTGAGTTATCAAAAAAGGGAAGTTCTGATAGAAATGCTTGTGTACACCAGCCCTTTTAAATGAAACCTTTAAATGGCAGAAAGTGCCAAATGATTGGCAAATCTGGTTTTCTTTCATTCATCTAGGTGCTACAGTACACCTGTATCTTTCCGTTTGCTGCTACTCTTGGATTTTTTTCCCCTTGTGTTTTAAGAAAGGAAAAAAAGAAGGAAAGTGTACATTTTTAGTAATGCTCCAGTTGCAAATTGAAAAGGCTGAGACTAAGCTTTTATCTTCCTTTCCTGCATTTTCAGCTTCCGATTTTCTTTGCTTACAGCGGGTCACCAGTAGCATCTAAGGTTTTATATTTAGCCAAATCCATTCTTCCTTCCAGCCAACCACACAATGCCTTGAACAATAGATGTGTCTTTGTATTGAACAGGGCATTTTTCTTCCATTTTTTTTTTTTTTTTTCTTTTTTAATAAAGCAAATGCTCTTTTGAAGTATCAATTCAAAACTTGATAGGCCACAACCTCTTTAAACCAGACTTGCCTGATCTTAAGAAATATTTTCTGATCATGTTTCCATACATTTTTATTTATTTTTTTGTTTGTCTTTCCAAAGAAATCACGCCAATGCAGAATTAGATGTTTACTTTATTGGGAATATGTAGTGGTTTTCTACAAATTGTATTATGATTAGGACTAAATACATTTTTGAAGTATTTTTCTTAATAGTCCTCTAAATATGAGAAATTGCATATTAATATTCATATGTATTCTCCTTTTGAGTCCGCAGGTAGATCTCTCGGCTACATTTCAAAATTTTTTTTTTTTTTTTTTTTTTTGAAACTAGCGTCCTCTCGTCATCCAAAGCTCAGTATACCGCAAGCTACAGCTCACGGTATACGGAGACGCCGCAGCCGGGACGGATCCCGACATTACTGTCGAGATCCACCCAGCTGCATGATTGACAGCTGGCTCTGCCTATCTAGAGGCAGAGCCAGCTGTACCCGCCCCCTCCCCCATCCGTTCCGCCAGTCAGCGCTGGAGGAGCGGACTGGGGAGGGGGGAATCCCTGCAGGGAGCCGTGAGTGACAGTCACGGCTCTTTGCAGGGATAGATCGAGAAGTGAGTGAGCGACAGTATGTGTTCGATCACTTCTCGATCTATTGAGTCGACCTGTGACAGTATCCTTGTCATAGGTCGGTTAGAACTAATGAGGCTGAGTGATTTTCACTCGCCTAATAGTTCTCCTTTTAAGCTGCAATTTACACACACATGTGAATGAGGTGCCACCTCTCCAATACATACATATTTCAATGTTTGTCTCTCTAAAAATGCTGCAAGTATGGACTGTATGGGGGTGATTGACATTTGACATGGAGGATTAGATCATAAGTTTCTACAGGGGCAAAAACGAATGATACCCTTTTGAATTCGTGGTGACTAACTAACTTGTGACTCTTTGGCACTTGGCCTCTAGGGCCGCAAGTAGTTGAGTTTTGTTAAAAAAAAAATCGCTCAACGTTTTAAAAACAATGTTTTTTTTAAATTTAAATCGTTAATGAAGTCAAATTGATTGGTTTTGACAGTAATGATGGCAAAAAAAAGGAGTGGGGGAGTGGATCGGCGGAGGAAAGAGCAGTGTAAAAAAAAAAAAAAATGTTTCAAAAACCTCAGTGAATGTGTTTGTTTGGGGAACCTACCAGTGTATGGCCAGCTTTACCTAGGTGGTTACTCAGGCCAGTGAAGGAACATTTTTCTTTGGAATGGACTTTAGCAGTTAAAATACCTTATTTCAGACAATCTTTTTTCCATCCTGTCCAGACGCTACCCCACCCCCCACAGTCGATATTTTATAATGGATTGCGTGTAGAGAGATAACAAATGTTCCACAGGTAATTTTGTTACTGGTCTTCTTTGACAGTTACAGTTTAAAGTTTTGAAAGTGTTTTGCTGCAAACACTTATATAAATGGAAACTGTAACTGATACTTTTTTCCTATTAGACATTTCCTGTGATACTTTCTGATATTTTCCACTTAGAAAAAAGAAATTGTCTTAGCTGCGCAGCATCAAAGTTGAGGGTAGGTTTTGCAGCGTCTGCTGAGTAGTCTAGTCTAGTATTCTGGGTGACCAGCATTTTACGTCTAGAAAGTGACAAGTTTGCTTAAATGTATCTGCTTGTAGTTGTGTGTGCTGAATCAGGATTTCTACACTGTTGTATAGCTACAGGGAGCAAGCACTTTCTAAGAAATAGAACGATGGGTTTTGTTTTTTAAAAGCAAGTTTGGTTTGTTTACAGTACTGGTTACCATGGCTTTGTTTAAATTTTTGTTTGTTGAGAGTTTTAGGTTTTGAAACAAATGTTTTGAAGCAACATAATGTTTGAAGCAACATAACACAAGGCCATGGAAAGAATTGCCTAGTGACGAGAAGCATAGGGATGGCTTCCCAGCTAATCGGGATCCAGGTGGCGAGTCATTACACGCCGCCTGGCTTCCTTAACCTCTTGCCGTCCGCCCGTAGTAAAAAAACGAGTACCAGGGAAAAAAAATATCGGTACGCCTCGATATCGAACAAACGATATTGGTGCATCGCTACTTTATTGCCCACCGCTTGGATGGATGGAGTATGTATGTTCCTTCTACAGTCCAAAAACTTAGGTTATCTTCTAAAATGTTAGTTTTTCTGTCTGTTTTGGGGACCTGAAGTGATCCTGTCAGCACAGGGTGCTTCTAAAAAATAAAATCTCTGATATACACTTCCATTTCTGTTGGACTGTTTAAAAAACCAAAAAACATTGCTTCGCTGCTTATGGGTGTGTGAAATACCGGCTCCCCTGTAGCACACTGTGATTCCTTCCACTGGCTCATGCGGTCATACAGGATGTATAAGCTGGGAGGAGAAACCACAGCATGCTTTGGGGGTGTAAAAGGTATTCCAACTATTTGACCGGTCTTTAACCGAGCCCAGGGTAGCAATGATGTGTCTAGTTCTCTGTAAAGATGACCAAGT